CAGTTATTTAGCTATGATGGAATCAAAAGTCACTATAATAGCTTGAAAGAACTGACCTGAGTGGCTCTGTCCACCTCAAACACCAGGATCAACTGACTGTGCAAGTCACTCACCCTCTTTGTGATCTTGTTGCAGAAATCAAATAGAAAGGAATGAATGTTGTATCAAACTCGGACATCATTTTGTGAGAAAAATGATGCCTCAAATCAATAAATTGATTCTTCATTCATTCTTAGTTATAACTTAATGCTATCAGTTAACTTATGTTATTCCATCAATATAAGAATGAAGTTGTTTTTTTTGTTACTTTTAGTTTTATTCTTCTAGGTGGATTTAACTAATCAAACCTTTCCTTTTTATTCTGTATGAAATTTCAGTTCCCAAATTTTAAGTGTTAACTTTTCCCTCTGTATGGGATTGCCAGATAAAATACAAGATTCCAGTTAAATTTGAATTTCACATAAACAACAAATGCTTGTTGTTGTTGTTGTTTTAGTATATTTTTAGTCCCATGCAGTATTTGGGACATACATTAATGCTAAAAAAGTATTACTACCCTAGCCAGTTTGGCTCAGTGGATAAAGCATTGGCCTACAGACTAAAGGGTCCCAGGTTCGATCCTGTCAAGGGCACATGCCCAGGTTGCGGGCTCGATCCCCAGTAGCAGATGTGCAGGAGGCAGCCAATCAATGATTCTCCCTCATCATTGATGTTTCTATCTTTCTCTCTGAAATCAATAAAAAAAAATGTATATTTTTAAAGTATTACTTGTTTATCAGAAATTCAAATTTAACTGTTTTTGCTAAATCTGACACTCTTAACCCCATATCAATCTTCCTTGGGTAATGAGGATTTTTCACTGCTCCTTCATGGTGTTCCTGAAATAGAAGTCAAGCCCTTGAGTGGTCTCAGTCCCCTGTGGTTTGCTGAACTGGGTTCCTTGGACCTGGACACTGAGTAACAACAACGCCTCTACAGGAATCTCACAGGAAGGTGCGGCTTCTGAGCACACAGAGCCCTTTCCCATCGGCTCTCCCCTGGGGGGAGGTTCCGAGCCCCGTGTTGAGATGGGAACACTGAGCCAAGCACCGGGAGGTCACTTGCTGAGGGTCCACAGTACGAGGCAGGGACACAGCCGCCCAGATTCTTTCCTCTGAGTCTCCTTTGTGTGAGACAGGGCTGTTCAGGGGTAGGTGTGGGGGAGAGGTAGGTAAGGTCTCTCTTGATGGGTCCAGGACATGCTACACCCAAATATGGCACCTTATTAAGAATATCTTGTCCTGCTGGCATGGCTCAGTGGTTGAGTGTCGACCTATGAACCAGGAGGTCCCAGTTTGATTTCTGGTCAGGGCACATGCCCAGGTTTGGGCTTGATCCCCAGTGTGGGGCGTGCAGGAGGCTTCTCTCATCATTGATGTTTCTCTCTCTCTCTCTCTCTCTCTCTCTCTCTCTCTCTCATCCTCTCTGAAATCAATAAAAATATATTTTTAAAAAAGAATATCTTGAGCCAAAGGAGTTTGAGAAAACATTCTGACTTCCCCTCCCCTGAAAGCAGGAGATAAATCTGTGTGAGAGGTGCCCTCTCTGTACCAGGAGGAAGGCAGACGTGGATTTAGGCCCGAGAAGGCTCTATAAACGAACCTGGTTACTTCCTCACCCTTTCCTAGCCCTAGCCCGAAACCCTCTGCCTCGTCAACTCTTCACACAGTTATTGTTTCTTTGTCAAAGAGGCGTAAAAGCTTCCTGCTCTGGTCACTCCTCGGGGGTCTTCGTTCTCCTGTGAGGGCTCCTGTGGACACGCAACACTTGAATAAAACGCGGATGCTTTTCTCCTGTGAGTCTGTATTTGTCAGTTTAATATCCAGACCAGCCAGGGACACCAAGAGGGCGGAGGAACACTTTTTCCTCCCCTACACCCCTCACCCCAAGAATGGGCTCACCCCTTCGCCTCCTTCCGCACGCACCTTGACCTCTTTCTCCAGGTAGTCACACAGCAGAATCTGGGGGTCGATGAGGTAGTCAGGGGGATAGAGGGGCATGGAGTGCAGGGGCCGGCGGCTCACACTGCTCCGAGTGGCTGCTCCTGCTCGGCGCGTAGCCTTTGGGAACATCAGCCTTAGGAGGGGGCCCTGTGTAAAGATGGGGGGGGGGCAGTAGATTGGAGCCCAGCAGGGGAGCAGGTAGGTGTCTCAAGCCAGATTGGAAGCCTATAGCACGGAACTGCTCTGCAGAGGGCCTTCTGTCCTGGGAGGCAGGGAGCAGGGGAATGGGCCTATTAATGGTCCTTGGACTGAGAAGCTACAGGAGGGATTCCTCAGGATACCAGGGAAGGTGGGGAGGATCTCCCAAAAGAATCCGTCTGGCTGGGTTTCCCTGGACGGTGTCTGTCTGTCTATATTCCAGGGACGGCAGAGGCTGCTGAGAACAGGGAGGACAGCTAAG